GATGAAAACCAAGACCATCCATCAGATGAGTGGCCAGGAAAGCCAAGCGAAGACAGAATCTGAGGAGTAAGTCGCCTTGGTATGGTTTCAGGGCTTCTATAAAAGTGTAAGCTACAAGAGGGAAGGTGGGCAGAGGGGCTGCAGAACAACCGGTTCACTGCATACAACCAGGAAAGAAAAGAAAGTCAGGAAACACAATGGCAGCTCTAGGCAGGAATGCAAAATATCACTTTAAAGGAGCCATTCAGGATTGGACATATCATAAAGCTAATGAAGTTTGCTTATTTATTTTTGCATAGATCTCTATTCTTTTGAAAGGGAACACTCCCCAAATTATACATATCTGAGGAGTCATAAAACCTGGACTGACCCTGGTGCTATAAGGAATGGAGACTAATGTACTCCACAAGCTCTTAAGAATGATACTCAACATTCCTTTGCATTTGAGGGGAATAAAATGAGAAAAAAATAAGTAGAGTTTAATGGGAGGATAAAGTGACCTTCAGCATCTTCCCTTTACACTTTAAGTGGCTGTGACTATTCTAGTCTTCTTTTAGGTAAGTGCTAGTTAGATACTTGTATATAACCCCCGACTACTGATTAAACTTGTAGGTGGAAGAGTGAAGGTAAAGACCAGGCTGGATGGAAACAGGAATTAAAAGTTCAGAAACTGGTGAAAATAGACATGGGCCATCTTCAAGGTTGCTTTTGTTTTCACACAACAGAACTGGCAAAGGAGCAGGCAGAGGATACTTAGAAGGTAAGGGTACAACGTCCTGTGTTTCCTCCTCTTCTGGTGGAGCTGTACATGAGGTTCAGAGGTAGACACCTGAATCTCACATGGAGTTAGGAACCCACAAGGCAAGAGGCAATTGGGCTAAGCGCATTACTTCTTAAGGCCATTAGGCTGTGCAATGAAGTACCTGGCAGCATTCCAGAATTTATTTCCTGCTCTGTAAGGGAACAGAGCTAGATCACAGTTGCCACCATTCCACATATTCAATCAACCTTTGCTTCTGTGTATTTTTCCCCCCTTCATTTCATTATCTGGTCTATGTGCAAGCCTGGTCATAGTCTACTACCAAAATATAGATATATCTTTCATGATTCATAAGAAAGGCTTTTGACACTTTTTTCTTAAAAGATATCCTATTATCCTATAGAGACAATACAATTTGATGAGGGCCAGGTAATTCTAACATATTGAAATACAGCTATACTCAAATTATAACTATTACTATGATTTAGGCACACTTTATTTTCATTTACTATGTCATAATATCTATTAATATTCTTTACCCCAAAGATTAGGCACTTTTCAATCAATGTGTATTTTATTGTGCATCTACTATGTACCAGACACTAGATAATATGGGACTTTGAGAACAGTTTTTTTTTTTAAAGGAATTTACTTAAACCCTTCAATAACAAAGTTCTTTTAATAATGCCAGGTATAAGGAGGTCTTATACTTTTGCTTTTGTTGTTGTTATTGTTCTGATTAAACACAGTGTGTTAGGAAGTAAGTGCCTACGTTTACTAAAAGCACATTTCAGGTGACACAATACAAAATTCTCAGGAAAAAGGAACTACTGTGACTCAGCAAATCCTACACAGAAACCACAGTTACTACAAAGAACACATTCAAAAAGTAAGGGAAAGCAGTGAGGGGGCATCAGGTCTGCCAAACCAAAGACAAATATTGCTAAGTCATGGTGATAGGCTACTCCTGATTTAATCAGGAACACAACTGCAGAGCTCTAAGGGCGTCAGGAACTCACATTTGCCTGCTTAGCACTTCATAAAAAGTTAGATTTTTTTTTGTTTAAGTACAATTCAATTCAGATAAATTCCTAAATTGCTTAGCAGTTGTCAAGTTAAAAAAAAAAAGTCAGCAGCCCTGCAGGATTTTCACTATTGAATCCAGTTAATCAGTAAAGACCCAGACTGACACCACAGGCTAGGTGGCCTTCAGAGAGGAAACCCACAAACGGCCTCAGGCAGTTTCCTTCAACTTCCCACCATAGTGCTCCCAGCTGAGGAGAGCCAGGTCTTAGCCCTGAGGGTCGACAAACATCCTTAAGTTTTATCTTTAAAATTCCTCCAAATTAGTGCAATTTCATTCTAATGTGATTCCAAGTTTATTTTACTACTGTAATAGCCAATATTACTGCTAACCAGATGGCTGCTATTGTGGTAAGAATTTCACATAAATCATGCTATTCACTTCTGACCAAGACCTTGAACTAGGCTAACCTTTGAGTCTTCTGCTTGACTGGACCTGACCTTAGGTGGCTTCTCTTCTAGCACTGGTCACAATGGACCACCTTCAGCACAGATGCTGTCAAATCAGGTTATCCAGAAGCTCCTCACCCTGGCAATTTCCTTTCAGCTTTCTTTTATTTTTTTAGTCTTCTTAAAAATATTGTTATTATTTTAATTTTATGTATATGCGTGTATTGCCTGCGTGTAGGTAAGTGCACCCGTGTCGTGCAGTGCCCGTGGAGGACAGAAGAGGCTGTCAGATCTCCTGGGACTGGAGTTATGGATAGTTGTTAGCTGCCATGTGGGTGCTGGGATTTGAACCCGGGTCTTCTGCAAGAACAACCAGTGTTCTTAACCGTTAAGCGTCTCTCCAGCCCAGTTTTTAGGGTCTCCCTGTAGCCCCAGCTGGCCTGGCACTCGCTATGTTGACCAGGCCGGCCTTAAGTCACAGAGATCGGCCTGGGACTAAAGGCATGTGCTACCATGCCTGGCTCAGCTTTCCATCCTTCTGACCCAACCTTGGTTTTAATCCCCATGTGTCCTGTGGAAGTCTGAGTCCAGTCTTTTCTGCCTTTCAAGCCCATGTTACAGTGACCCCCTTTGCCTACTCATGGCCTAGAGCCTGTCTACCAGTTTTACTAAGGGTCTGTACAGCTTTGACATTTCTTACAGTAAGTGGTGTTAGTTTTGTTATCATTTTACACTTCAGAGAAGTTGAAAAACTTTGCTAAAGTTATAGAGCTAATTAGTGGTGATGAGACCTATATACCTTTCTAACTTAATTACTCTTATATAGAGCTAATTTGTGGTGATGAGATCTATATACCTTTCTAATTTATCTATTACATAATGTCACTATATCACTTTTAAATAAGCTGATTCTTCTTTCTCAATTAAGTTAACAAAAAGCAAATTTTTTTTGTACATGGCCCTGTCTTTACTGGGCCATGGACTGGGCTCCTCTCCGCCGCTGGTATCCTTTTACATTTCAGTTGAGACTCTCCCAATCCAGGTAGTATGTATGCCTGAGACTTATATTTCCACTCAATTGGGACTCTTCCCCACAGCCAAGTGAATTTTCTGATTATCCCTTCTATATTTTTAATGTCCTGTCTATCTTTGCTAGAAAACTATTCCATTCTCTCTGTAACTGATTGCAATGGACTCTTCAAGAATGCTTTACTGCTTTCCAAGTTGAAAATAACCCTTCAATTGCCCCCTCTAAAGCATCACTTCTAAACATGCTACCTGTACTGTGTACTCCGATCCAGCTGTTGACTCCTTTATTTCAAATATTACAATACTGTAAGAAAATTCAGAGGATCTCTTAATACCATAAATGGTAACTGCTAAGAACTGCTAAGGCTAACTTTAGTAATTTAGCTTTGTTTCTGTTTGTGCTGAAAGGGTATGTTTCCCTCCCGTAGAGCACTGGAAGGTAGAGCTTAGCCTTCCCTATAACACTAATGAAAATTTGGGATATCAAAAACCAAGGAAAGGTGAAAAAACATAGAGACATTAAATGTCTATACACACTAACATGTACAGAAAATACTGTAGAATATGAATTGCTTTGAAGATAGTAAAATGTCATAAAATTATAAAAGTAGTATAAAAGGTGACATACTATTATTTCCAATAGAGCATCAATTTGCTTTTTTTTTTGTCTTTTTGAGACAGGGTTTCCCTGTAGCCCCAGCTGGCCTGGCACTCACTATGTAGACCAGGCTGGACTCGAACTCACAGAGATCCACCTGCCTCTGCCTCCCACCCGAGTGCTAGGGATTAAAGGTATGCACTACCCCGTTATTTTGCTTTATTTTTATATCTTTATAGACTATATCATGGTAATTTAATGCATGTATACACTGTGTTCTAATCAAGTTAATGTAATAAGCATTTCTTTTTTGTTGTTGAGCTTTTAAAATTTCATACATTTCCCACTCAAATCCAGACCCCCTCCCCCATCCCTGACTATCGAACCCTATGCACTCTGCCATACATGCTGAGTCCTATTCATTCAGGTGTTTGTACCCCAATGTCCCCTTCAGTGTAAATGCCTCCACTGGAGTCCAGTCAACCCATCCAGTGGTCATATGTAAGTCATACTCTCCCTCACCCAGCAGCAATCAGTTTCAAATAGTTCTCAATCTAGTGCTGGCCTGACACCTATTTCTCACCTCCCCTTAGGGCCTTTGTTTAATTAAGCTGACATGGGTCCCAAGCTCGAAGGCACCATGGCCACAGGCTCACATGAGCAAGCCTCAATTTGCTTTTATAGAGTTGTATTAAATGCTACTGGGATTTTTTTTTGATGAACTTTGACTAGATTATTGTCTCATAATTGCTAAGTATCTCATTTTTCTTGCACAGAAAATTAATTTTTGCCTAGTCACCACATCCTAACAATGTATAATCCAACTTTCTTCAGGAAACACATGTCAAAGTATGAAAATTAAAGTGTTAAAACAAGGAAGAGATGTACTATAAAGTCACTTCTGAGCTGTGCCACCTCACTCTGGGCTCCACTGTGATGCCATCGTGGCAGCCCCTCAGTCCCAGTGAATACAGACAGTGGGGCTCTATATTCTTTGAGTCCTTCATTAAACTATTGATCCCTTTCACATTATCCATAATGTTCCAGCAGCTCAGCACGTGAACCAGTGAAGTGCTAGTCTCTCTCTCCTTTCAATACCTTCCACACTTTATGGAGAGGAAGTCACAATGATTTATTTACCTGACATTTTCCAGTCCGGATGTCGTACAGGGCCACTGAACCATGGCGCGCTCCAACTGCGATTCTGTGACTCCGCTCATAATAGCTGACCATGTAGAACCTGAATTGGGCATTTTCACAACAAAAACAAAAAGCCAGGTGAGATGAGCTACATATGGAAGGGGAAGCTAGTAATTTCAGAGATTAAAGCCAGCTCCCATATATACACACATATATGAGATACATATACATACATATATATGCAGACATATTTATATGAACTTCAATTGCTTTATAGCTCTATTATTTACAAATGAATATATATTTATTCAACATAAGGAGATTTTCAAAAGTGTTCCATTTTAGAATTTAGTACATTGAGAGAGAATATCACCTAGGCCTATTGATAATTATTTTCAGCTAGGTCCAGTGGTTCACACCTATAAACCCAGAACCTGGAAGGCTGAGACTGGAGGACTGCTATGAGTTTGAGCCAGCCTGAACTACATAGTAAGTTCCAGGGAAGCCTGGACTAAGAGTGAGACTCTGTCTCAAAAAATTATTTTCAATAGGAAACTTTAAAATCATAAATACTCTTGAAATTTTGAGATAATAAAGGTCAAATGCAAAAAAGATGAAATGTGAAAATCCCATTTTCTGATAACTTATGCAGACATTTCTATTTGAAGAGAAATGAGAATGATTTTTAAAAAGGGTTCCATATCAATCTAATCATGGTCTCATGGCTTGTTATCTAAGTAGTGAAATATACATTCTGACAGAACAATCTTAAAAGGCTACATAAATATCACATCTCCTAAATTCTTATCAGTAACTTAAAATGACATTAGAAAGCTACTCACCAGGAAAAAAAAAAAACAAAAAACAAACCATCCTACAAATTTCCACCTTTACTAGGTTATCTAAATAACTGGGGTGACAGTAGAAAAAAGCATATTTGGTATTTATATTGCATTGCATAAGAAGTTTTAGAGTAGATGGTGTGAAGGTTGGAAAAAGCCAACTAATTGTCACTACAGTCTACATTCCTTTACAGAGCTAGTTAAGTAATTGAAGTTCTGGTCCACACTTTGGCATACTGATTGGGCTGGTATCTAAAGGTAAGAATAGAAAAACTACTGGAAGGGTAAGTCAGGTATACAAACTTGACTCGATAGGCCTTAAATATATGACAGAATGAATGAAATCCAGTGGCAGGGCATGAGGGGTGTGGATACGGGAGGGGGTCTAAATATGATTAAGATGCATTGTATAAAATGCACAAAAGTTCAATAATACATTGAAAAAAGGAAATAAAATGTTTTTTTAAAACCTAAAAAGCATTAGAAGCTTGATGCAAAAATCTGTAAACAGAAATAAACATGTGAAGGTCTTACAATACAAAACAGAACAAAAAAATTTCTAAATATACTTTCAATTCACCTGGTCTCAGTGTGAGCTGTCCAGGAGATGAGGGGCTACATTAAATATTCTATTTGAACATGTTTTTCCATCACATCCTCCTTCAATTCCATACGACCAAAGTAACTTTTCTAATATTTTTTTAAGGGACATAAAATAGAAAGAAAATAGAACATTTCTCTAATGCATTCTAAGGTAAGACACAGAACAACATTTCTGAAATTCTAGGAAGAGAGGCTGACAGAGATAAATTTGAATGTAAAGGAGAGACATTCTGACAGCCAGTTTAGCCTTGGCAGATATTATGGTAGTCACACAAACTTCAATAATACAGAAAACTATGGTGTTTTAAACTTTTTGTTTGCTCTTCATTACCAAGTCATGTAGTATTGAGGTTTTTCCCCATCCCTAGGCCTCATCATGGACCAGCTCCAGCCTTTTGGAAAGTCAGGGCTTCATTTTCAATCCTATGGAAGTCACTACCTGGGAATGATGCCCTGCTGAGCATATTCTCTCTGCTCAAGAACTGCATTGGGCTCCTTCAGTATTGGTGGGAGGGAAGAAAGGAAAGACAAAAACTTGCTGAAACACAAGATGTTTCCTGAAGGTTTCCTGAAGAAAGTGTTGTATTACTCTTTCTCAATGGAAGGTGGGAATTTGCATTCAAAATCTAATGTTCTCTCCACCCTCACCTCCCTTTACTTCCCTGGGCTGCACAGCCTCTCCTGTCCTGGTCCCAGCACCTTCCCTGAGTAAGTTCAGTGTGCCCAGCGTGCCTTGACTCCACCAGCCTCTTTCACCCGCCCAGGTCCCCTGCCGAGTCTCTCCTCCTAGGCTGGGTACTGGCCCATTTCTTGTCTTGGCACCCCAGACACTGGGGCCAACCTCAGCCCAGAACCACCACTGCGTCCTGATCCTCTGTATCCGGACCAACCCAGTTCCTCCCTGCCGCCCCCAGGAACCCTGTAGGCCTGGTCCCACCCTCACCTTCCTTTACTTCCCTGGGTGGCACAGCCACCAGCTTCCTGAGACCAGCATCTATCCTGGGCCCTTCTCCCAGGCAAGCCCAGCCCCCAAATTCTTGAGGGCAGCATCTTTCCTGGAGGGACCGATACCTTAGGAGAAAGCCTGAGAGCATCTGAGCCTCATCTCACTTGGACCTCTGTGGGAACTCCTGAAGACAAAAGCAATTAGGCCACTCCAATATAAAATCAAAAGAGAGAACCTGAAGCCTAGACCAACCAGCTTTTCATGCCCAACAAGTAAATCACAAAGGCACATAAAGTTTACAAAAAGAAGGGATCTAAACTCAACAAGGAATGCTTGAGTCTCACACAAGAATCAGAAACTACGGAGGAAATTCACATATCAAAGTCACAAAGAAAAAAATAATAACATGAAAAGCCAAAATAACATATGCCCACCAAGTACCAGTAGTCCTCTAGAGAAGTACAATGAGAACTCCCTAGAGATAACACAAGACATGGAACTCAAAAGAACAATTAAAAACATGATAAAAGAATTCGGTGAATTTAAAGAACACACAAAGAAAGAAATCAAAGAACTGAAGGAAGATAGGGATAAACTTCTGAATGAATTCAGAAGAGATAGAAACATTGAAGAATACTCAGGCTGAAATGAAGAAGGAAGTGAAACACTCAGTAAGCCAATTAGAAACAAGAGGAGAAAGCCTCACCAATAGGATGTATGAAATGGAAAACAGGATATCAAGATTAGAAGATAAAGTGGATGAATTAGACCACTCAAGCAAAGATTATGAAAAATTAAACAAAAACAGAACAATGGAAGATGCAAGAATTGTGTGATACCATAAAAAAACCAAACTTATGAATCATAGGCATACAGGCAGGAGAAGAATCTCAAGATAATGGCATGGACCAGATCTTCAACAGGACGGTAGAAGAAAATTTCCCAAAATTAAAAAAAGACATGCTTATATGAATACAAGAAGCATATAGAACACCAAATAGACAGGACCAGAAAAGAAACTCTCCACAACACATCATAGTAGAAACACTAAACTTTCAGAACAAAGAGACAATACTGAAATCTACAAAAGAAAAACAACAACTCACATAAAGGAAAACCTATCAGGATTACAGCTGACTTTTCAGTGCAAACTATGAAAGCCAGAAGAGCTTGGACTAAAATATTCCCAGTACTAAATGTCATATATGCCAATCCAGAATATTTTATCCAGCACAGCTGTCTATCATAGCTGAAGGGGAAAGAAAAATCTTCCATGACATAAATAGGCAGAAAGAATTCATGTCCACAAAACCAGCCCTTCAGAGAGTTCTTGAAGCAATACAAAGAGCTGAAGAAAGGAACGAGTCTACCCAAGGGGTGATGGAGAGAAATTTAATGAAGGTATAACTGGAAATGCACAGCTACATCAATAATGTGAACAGAAATAAAAATGACAGGATTCAATTCAATCCACATCTTTCATTAATAACTTTAACTATCAATGGACTGAACTCCCCAGTCAGAAGATACAAACTAGTTGAATGGATTAAGAAATAAAACCCATCATTTTGTTGTCTGCAAGACACTCATCTCACTTTCAAGGACAGGCACTACCTTAAGGTGAAAGGATGGAAAAAATATACCAAGCAAATGGTATTAAGAAAAAAGCAGGCACTGCAATTCTAATATCTGATAAAATAAATTTTAAAACTAATCAGAAGAGACAAAGAAGGCCACTTCATTCTGATCAAAGGAACAATAAATCAAGACGATATTACAATCATGAACATATAGTCACCAAATTCTGGTGTGCCCAACTTCATAAAAACAGTACTACAAGACTTTAAGATTCAGATTAATCGCAACTGATTAATAGTAGGGGACTTCAATACCCCATTGTCACCATAAGATAGGTCAACAGGACAGAGAATTAATGGAGAGACATATGAAATAAACAATACTATATGTCAAATGGACCTAACAGACATCTACTGAATATTCCACCCAAGGATCAAATAATATACCTTCTATTCAGTGCCCCATGGAACCTTCTCCAAAATCGACCATGTACTGGGGCACAAAACGAAACTCAACAAATACAAAAAGATTGAAATAATTCCATGCATTCTATCAGAACACAATGCAATAAAGCTTAAAATCAACACCAGGAATTCCCAGTAAACACATGAACACAAGGAGATTAAACAACAAACCCCTGAATGATGAATGGGTCAAAGGAGATATTAAGAAATAAATAAAAGTATTCCTGGAACTAAATGAAAAGGACAATATAACACAATAGTCTTTAGAGGGAACTTTATAGCTCTAAGTGCCTACATTAAAAAATCAGAAAGATCACAAATGACTTAACATTGTAACTCAAGACATTTCAAAAGCAACAGCAAATGAAACCCAAACCCAGCAGACAAGAAGAAATAACAAAAATCA